ATAGCAAGTTGGCCAAGGAGGAACTAGGCCAGAGCAGCCCCGCGTTAGGGCTTCCCGGCCCCTCGGCGAGCGGACACCTCTGTGGCTGCCCGGGCCGGGCTGGGGCTGAGCGGGAGCGGCCCCGGCCCCCGCCTGCGACAGCTACGGCCGGCCTGGCGCCTCGGCCCAGACGGCCTTCCCGATTCCCATACGGAATGCGTGCTTCTGGGAGCAGAACCGACTGCAACACCTTTGCACGGGTACAGGCCACTGCACAGACCCCCATCCTTTCCTCTTCCCACGCTGCCTTTGCTGCTGTGAAAATGTGTGTTGCGTAACACCTTTGTTTCCCTTGTATTGGCTTCTCCTCCCCTTCCCACGGGATCCTCTCTGTAACATGCTGACGATATGACACAGGTGTTTTCTCTGCTATTTCCAAAAGGAAAAATGAAAAAAAAAAAAAAAAAAAAACACCCAGATAATTCCTTAGTGAAAAGATTCGTCAGCTGAAAAACCTGACCAGAAAGGAAAGGTTTAGATGGAGTGGGTTATGGCATTTACACATCTGAGATACCCTAACAGCTTTTGAAACATCATTGACACAGGCAATATTTTTGTTATCAGCTGTAGCAACCCTTCTGTAGCAAGTTTTGGCTTCTGTACTTTGTTCTTTTCCATTATGGACTGATAACTCAGTGGCCACGAATTTTTCTACTTGTAAATGTGCTCACTTTCTCCAATTAAAGTTTGTAGCACCTCTTAAGAACTTAGGTGCTGGGAGCATCATTAGACTATAAAGGCTGCAATCAGTGTTTTTTCATATTACTGTGCCAATGTGCTCAGCGCTCCTCCTTAACCATGCAGGTCACATCTGTAAGTGATCTGATGTAACTACACCAGATCAGTCACAAATCGTTAGAACTGAGCAAAGCACTTTTGAACAGTGATGAGGAATATGATCCAATGACCTAATGTCCAGGTTATGATTTTTGTGAGTTTATATGCCCTTTAGATGTTAGAGGAGAGGACATAACCATGGTTTTACAAAGAAAAATGCCACAAACTCACTTAGCACATTTCTATCCTTTTTTAAAGAACACCAGTCATACTGGTGGACAAAAATTCCTCTCTTCTAGCTACTGGTATTCAAAACTTTCATAATACATGCTGGTACTGGGTAAATAGGAAACCAACTGAATACAAATGTTCAGAATAGTATATGGGAGAAACTGCTTTATAATTAATCAACTATACAGATGAGGACTACTTCACAGAATGTAAAGTGACCTACACAGAATGTAGAAGTATGCATAGCTTCTGTAAGGGTTGACTAAATTAAGCTACAAAATTTCTGTTCTCTTAACCACGGATACATAATGCATGAATTGGTATGTCCTAAATACTGAAGATACATATAAATTATCCTGTATCTCAATAAGAAGCAGTAAGGTTGGAATGAACCTGGGTCTTTGAGCTTCTGTCCTTGGTTTTTCATCATCTGACATTCCAAGGTATCATAAACCAATATCTTATGTTAAATAGTATACCAGCATATGTAGTCTTTGCTTTAAAGCCTGGCTAGGCATTGTTTTCCTGTGATATTCATTCAAAAAAAGAAAACAAACAAACAAACAAAAAAAACACCAAAAAACAAACAAAAACAAAAAATCCACAAAACTTTGAGTTCAAAATAAGTCATTAGATCAGAGAGTACCTCATTATTAAGAACAGCAAAAAAAAGCAGTAGCATCTTACCATGCCCAATGGGGAAGGTACCCTCCCATCTAATAAGAAAACTCTATCATCTTGAGCATTACCCAGCTAACTTCAGCAGATACATTATGATTTTAGCAGTTATTACTTCTTTTGAATTTCTAAAACTTCTGGTTATAGTGACTACATGTGGCAGTAGGAAGGTAATCAGCATTGTAAATAAGAACAAGGTTATGTATTTCTTGCAGTTTTGGGCAGAGATATTTTTGCCAGGTTGTATGGTATTGAATGCCAGTCCCAAGCTATCAGTGGTATTAATGCAACTTCAGAGATTCACCGTTCAAAACTACACAGCTACTTTGCATTCCCAAGAAAAGCATGTACAAGTTTTATAACTACTACCTAGATGCATAATTGCTGTTAGCATGGAAAAAATACATACATTAAGTTACATAATAATACATAATATTATTAATAGTATTTATATTATTAATATAAATTTATAATAATAAATAATAATAATAAATAATTCAAACTGATTCTTGAAAGGGAGACCCAGATAAAGAAGCAAGACATTAGTTTATGACATGTTTGACTCTCATGACTGAATTTAGTCTCTTGTACATTTACAACCCATCTGTACAAGTCAGTATGATCAGTATGACCACACCAACAAATCCAGAGAACAATCAGCAGAAACTTCCAGGGAGAGGAAAGCAGCAGTGGCACTGCTATGAGTCATTTGTTATCTGCTATTTGATTTGCTGTAAAGGAATTTAAAAAACAAACCAAAAAAAACCCGAAACAGATAACCACCAAAAAAATCCCTATAACAACAAACAAAACAAGACAAATTTCCTCTAATCATTATTAGGCATTGCCGGACTTAACTTACTAAATTGATGCAGCCATCTCCTCAGGCCTGTGCTTATAACGCAGGCTAGCACTGCAGCAAAACAAAGCCTGCGTTTTTTTTAAGTCCATAAAGCCAAAGCAGAAAACTTTGAAGAGAGGACACTTCTCTGGGTGTAGGGAGGTTGTATCTATTGTACGTATGTATCTGTCTGCACTACAACAGCCTGTAGAGTCATTATATGTACTATGAAAAGAAACCACTTGCTCTATCTCTCCTACAGGCACAATTAATTTATTTTTTTTAAAAATAACTTATTCTTCCCCTGTTTGGGTTTGTCAGTATTGAACTGATCAGACCATTTCCAACTCAGCACTGAAACATCTCTCTGCCCTTAGGTACCTACTTTCCACATAAACTGACTCCTTAGTTCCCAGGCTCCCCAAAGAGGCTGTGGTAATGAGGCAGTCAAAATTAAGCTGCAGCTGATGTTGACAACAACATTAAGCAATCTTTTCAATTAGAGATTGGATGATACAGGTGCACAGTAGTTTACAGGAATTAGCAGTCATTTGCTGGTCTGAAAAGACTTGCGAGTCCCTTTGCTACACAATTTAGAGCTCTCAGTTACTGAAACGAGCCAATCTACTGTTGCTGATAGTGGCATTTAGAGGTGGTGCCCTTCTCCCAGCTCTGTGTAGTAGTTACCCAAGATGAATGGAAAGTGAACAGCCCTGCCAGTCTCTTGGACTTTGTCTTTTCTCAGCAAACCCTTTCTTTACCTGATGTAAGGTGCTTAAGTTAAAAACTTAGCGAGGGGAATAAAAGCAGAGCTTGCTGGCTTGCACCAGTGCTAGCAAAGCAGCTTGCTGGTATATGCTGAAGGCAGGTGCTGTCTAGCCTGGGAAACATATTAGGCAAGAGAGTACTGTTGTAGATGGGTAATGCAATGGTTGGCTCTCACAATTAGAGGATGAATATTATGTGTGTGTTAAAGAAAGTTTTATTGATATATAGTTATGCTACTGTGATTTTGTTGTTTAGATGTCCTCTGTTCTCCCCATATCCCCCTTTCCCCCCCTACCCGGTGTGGTTGCCAAGGGACAGCCTTGGTGGCTGGGACATGTGGAGGGAGGAGGTGTACCTGTGCCCCTTGCCTGGGGCATTTTGGGAAGAGGGAAGGCTTGTTGCTAAGGGGCGTGGCATGGCAGCACCTGACCTCCAAGCAAGTTGCAAGAAAGCAGCCTCCATCCATGGATGGTGAAGAAGAGTTGACTGACAAACTTCGGGAGGGGCCAGGCTTGCCTGATGCAACCCCAGGGGCATAAAAGGCAGAGCAGCCATTTTATAAACTAGCTCATAGCTGCTACATCACCAGCTCCCAGCACACTGTCCTTCTTCCTCATTCAGTCTTCGGTTGTATTTCTGTTAAGGTTTAATAAACCTTTAAAATTTTAAAGTGAGCGTTGTTTCTCACAGTAGCACAGCTTTATCAAAGGATTAAAATCATTCTGGCATCCCACTGGCGTTTGCTTATCTATTACTTATCTGTTTACTAATCTATTGCTTACCCACTTCATAGGATCCCATAAACTCTCTTTTTGTCTTGATGCACTTAGGAGTCTCCACAAGCCTTCACAATTTCTTCGGTCCTCTTCTTTTTAATGGGCAGAGGAGAAGCAGCCATACATACTCCTTCCTTAGCACTTGTCTCCTTGAGTTCATGTGCAAGTAAGTTTCCCACAAAAGCTGAGTCCTTCATGTCACCCTCCAGAGGAACCTTTTATTTGGTTGGTTTAAACTTTAAGCAAACCCTTTAGAGCTAGGTTTGCAAAGATGCCTAGAAGGTAGCTTAGAGTCATATAAGAATCTGGGCACCTGATAGGTCTGTGTTCAGGCAATTTAGAAAATAAGATACCCATCAGAATCATTAGGCACTACCTGCCTTTAGGACCGTGGCTCTTGATTTTTCCGGGGCTTGGATTTTGCACATGTGAAGTGTAGGGACAGTAATGATCTATGGCATATTGTATGGATAAAAACTATTTATCAACAGCACTTTGAGATCCTCAGGTGAAGAAAGGGTTTTGACAGGATAAATCATTGTAATCTTTAGGTCTGATTCTGTGAGAACCACAGCATTTTTGGTTTCCAGCAGCATTCATAAGGGTCATGAGAGTTTATATTTCTGTCCCACTCCTTAAATGTACACTTATTTAGTGGAACAGCTAAATGCTTTCACAATGACACTTCTTTTTCCTCCTTTATACTACAGGTCCAGAAGCACAACGGTGCTTGATTTTGTTTTAATTGCTAAGCCACAAAGACTGCAGCCATGTCTCTGGAAGACATCCACATGAATACCAAGGATTTGCTTGAAAAAAAACAATTAGATGCTGGAGGATTTGGAACAATTTCTTTATGCTTTCACAAGAAACATGGATATGTAGTATTAAAGAAAGTATATACAGGACCACAGCGCACTGAGTAAGTTACAGATCTCAGTTCTGATTTTAGTTTCAGTTAGTCTGAGACCTCTAAATTCAATTAAGATAAACCTAAATGGAGTGCAATAATTTCAGGTCTTTGGATTCTGGAGATACTTTATGTGGGGAAAAGAAAACAATGGTAACAGCTGTCCTGAAAATTTTCTTTTTTTCCTCTCTCAAGACAACTTTTTTAGTTTTAACTCATAGTTCCAGTGAAGTTCCTGGTTTTTGTTACAAGGTGAGCCACTATCACGAATTGTTAAAGAGTCAAGAGGACTGTTGCACACTTAAGGAAATGGAAGAACTCAGTGGCCACACAGTATTTTCAAACATGCAGATATGTTTTCAATGAAATTATCCAACTGTAGATGTCCACTAGGAACTAAACACACATAAATTGTTGGTAAGACTCCAGCCTCATGTGTGTTAATACCACAAAAGTAACCCTCACTCCCTTGAGAAAGAGCAGAGTGAGCCAAGCCCACTGATTTAATTCAAAGATTAAATTAGCTGTTGATTTCAGTGGACTCAGGTCACATTGCAGCTCTACCACTTCACAGCCCTAATCTGAAACACAATCCTAAAACTCTCCCATAAATCATCCACTAGAGAGAGACAGAATTCCATGTTTTTTCTGTTTTGGGTTATAATAGATAACTTGAGTTTTTATTATGCTGGTAGAAAACAAATTAGATATTCTAGTATTTTGCAGCCTACAATGACAGTTTGGGATGACCAAAGTTAAAACAACAAGCCTGTGAAGTGTATCTTTGTGTCTGTTTTTATTTTTTCATTACACATATTCATAATTTTGCTATTTCTTAAAATACTGAACCAAAAGTCTTTAGCAAATTTTTGACTGATCCTAATGCAAACAAAACTACCAGTTTCTTCTCTAGTAATATGGAGGAACGCAGATGGAGAAAGCAGTTTCATTTTAAGTCAGAGGGTAGGAAAGCATTAGCAAGCAGTGCAGTTTCAAGATTTTCTTACATCTTTTTGTCTGATGACCAGAACAGGAACAATAATAAAAACACCACCCCTTCTATTCATTATGTAATGGATGCTATCCTTTTTTAAGACCCTTAGTGAAACCTGATGCCCTTTGGAAATAAGACCTCCGTAAGTTTCCTGTACAAGAAGTAGTGGAGTGGATCTTGATCCTCCTTGTTCCAAGGCTCTTTCAGCTCTGCCCAGATCTCACCCCAGTTAAAAGATTCGGACATCCACAGCTGCCTACAAAAAGAATGCTTATGCAGTTTCTGAAAAGCAGGCCTTAAAATCAGACTGAGCAGACAGTCTCTGTGTAAGGCATTTGAGCAGAATCTTAGAGAACATAAACTGGCATGAACAAATCTGTATCAATTCAAAATCTGCGGAAGGTATGATTAATCATGCAGGGAGTTCTAGGGATGTTGACATTTTTGGCTATGGTTTTCATCACAAAGTAGTGTGATTTTCATCCCTTTGTTCTTTCTAGGCTGGCACCTAAATTCAGTGCAATTTCTGTTTTACAGGTACAATGTTTCCCTTCTTGAAGAAGGCAGGATTATGCGCAGACTGCAGCATGACCGTGTGGTAAAGCTACTCGGTGTCATTTTGGAAGACGGAAATTACTCGCTTGTGATGGAGTACGTGGACCGTGGGAACATGATGAAAGTGCTACAGAATGTGAGCAGTCAATTACTTCATCCCTTAGGGTTGGTGAGCTGCTTGAAGGGGACAGGATGTTACTACCATATCCAGAGAATGGAGTCTTTCATTTCTTACTCTTTTTGTATTAAAAAGCCAGTGGCAGCACTGCCTTCTCTAGAGACAGCAGACAATGACAGTGGCTTTCCTGTGCATCACAGAGGAGCCGACCAATTACAGATTAAAAAGTTCTAGTAGTGGCTGTAGAGATATGTGGAGAATTTGCTAAATATGGAGTGAGTCTAGAGTAATTTTAATACCGAAAATTCGATCCAAGAAGGACCTTAGAACCATAGAATATCTCTAGTTGGAAGGGACCTTGAAAAATCATCAAGCCCAACTTGCACAGGACAACTGAAAAAATCATGATCACCCTCTGGGTGAAGAATCTTCTCCTAATATCCAACCTAAACCTTGCCTAATCCAGCTGCATGCCATTCTGACAGGCTCTATCACTGACCACCAGAGAGAAGAGATCAGTGCCAGTCCCTCTGCTTCCCATCATGAGGAGGCTGTAGACCATGATGAGGTATTTTCTCAGTCTCCTGCAGGCTGAACAGACCAAACGACCTCAGCCCTTCCTCATATGGCTTCCCCCCAGATTTTTCACCATCTTTGTGCCTTTGTTTGGAGATTCTCTAATGGCTTTACATCCTTCTTAAATCGTGGCCAAAACTGCATGCAATATTCAAGGTCAGGCCATACCAGTGTGGAGTAGAGTGCAACAATCATCTCCCTCAACCCACTGGCAATGCAGGTTTTTCTTACCACAGCTTAAGCAGAGGTACTCTCACGACTGAGGAACTTTTTTTAAAGACTGAGTTTTCATTTGATTGTTGTAGTTGCATTTTTTAATAGATGGCACTTCTTGTTCTTTCTTTTAGCTCTCACTACCTTTGTCAGTGAGAGGGCGTTTTGTGCTGGAGATCACAGAAGGAATGCTTTATCTGCATGAGCAAGGCTTTGTACACAAAGACCTAAAACCAGAAAACATCCTTGTGGACAGAGACTTCCATATTAAGGTACTTGTTAGAATGTGAATAGAGAAGGCTGGTGATTTGGTTTGAAGAACCTATTTCAGCCGTGCTGGTTAGAGTTCCTAACTTGGTGGAATTGGTAGATAATGCCTTCGTTGTTCAGTGAACTACCCCTGAGAGAGTATTGGCCCTGGACCATTAACACTCATTATAGTGGCCTGTACAGACTCTGAGTCTGAGATTTGCACTGCATTCCTCCAACTGCGAAAAAAACTATCACTAAGGGCATTAAAAAAATAATATTGTTGAGAATTAACAAGCTATAAATAACAGAAGAATTAGAAAGATGAAACATGTTAATACAAAGTTTGAAACAGAATAGAATGTTTTATGGATAATGTCTTTTGTCTTTTATTGCTGTAATTTCTCCTCCTGCCTTCACTTCCTTTCTTTTATTCCTTTCCTTTGTTATCTTCTCTTTTGTATCCGTCTTTTCCCTTAGTCATCATTTTAAAATGACATCCAGGAGCTACAAAAAAACCCCATCAGGACACTACTTCAAAGAATGGTTTATAAGCCTATTCCAAAGCCCTTCTATTAACTTTAGTATGGTTTTGGATCAAGACACATAAATATAGAGGCTACTGAGGAATAAACCTGAGGGGAATTTGCAGCAGTCCTCATCAAATATCCTGTCTCTGGTCAAGGTGAGTTGTTGAAATAATCACCCCATTACAATCTGAAATTACAGAATAAATTTCTGTGAAGAGAACTCTGTCATTTTCTATTTCTCACTCATAAATTAGTGAGAAGTTCTTCAACAAGGTTAATATAGTAGCAAGTGCAGTATGAGCAGCTTGCAGATAAGAATTATAAATTTATTTCTTTTCCAAAAATAAAAACCCCATCATGATCTGCTTTAAATATAAATTGTAAGGGGAGTTGGGTTTCAGCTCGCTTATATGGACAGGATCAAACTAGGCTATCATCACATTTCATGACAAAAAATTATCTGGAACATGGGATCATGATAAAATTCAGAATCAGATAAGACTTCCTTAAGGAGCTTGACAAAAAGTATAATTTAAGGCAGCTGTTGTACAATCTATCTGCTTGAATGTGTCTAACACTGTCAATAATTAGGCAAATAGTTCCAGGAAGTTGTAAATGTAGGAAGATTTATGTCATATCCTTCTCTATCACTAGACCTCCTCTCACTTGTAGACATGAACCTGGGCTCCTACTTCCTCAGTAGAATGTCACCTAGATTTCCTCTGAATACACAACTTCTAAACGTAGCCCAAGGCCTCAGAAATTCAAGAGGAACAATTAGCTAGTTAGAGGCAATAAGAGAGAAAAGTGTTAGAAGTGAGGCAAGGTGTAACCTTCACTTTTATTTGAAGTAACTGAGTTACACAACTCTGTTTGACAGCTGCCTGTGTCCAAGAGAGACAGGCCCAATTTCTTTCAGCTTTCCTCTCCTGTTGACCTCCTGTTCCCTTGTGTTAGCGCTGGTGCTACAGGTGCCTTGATTTAGGAAACCAAACCAGCAGATTACCATTTACCTTGTTGGCAGTGCTATCCTTCTGTTGGGGGGTACTTGGTTCAGCAAGCTGCTTGACTGCCTTGCACTAGGTCTTCCCAGGTAAGTGTCAATGCTGGAGCAAGAGGAGCAGAGGGAGCACATAACAGGAGACTGGGGGAAAGGAAGGAAGGATTACTTTCTTCACCACCAGCCATTAGCCTAGTTGCAAAACCACACCCTAAAGTTTCAGTAATATCACACTGTTAAGCACACAGTACCCAGGTATCTCTGCTTTAACCTATTCCATGCTATTCTTTCCCTTGTCTCTTTGTTATACATATCACATCGTTTTAGTTCCTCTTCTTTCCCTTTTCTGAAGGAAGATCTAAAGTGGTTGAATGAAATGGAATCTGAATGGAAAGGGCTGTGAAGGAAGGAGGCATATCTGCCCATCTCATAGATTGATTCTAGGTCTGAATGTTAGATTCTTCTCCTATGAATCTTCTGTTCTCACATGAATGCTGAAAGCAGGCCTCAAATATGATTGTCAATATGAGTGAAACCACATTTCTTCTATCCTCGCATTGTGCAAGTGTTCCACAATGAATAATAAAAGTTCAACCTAATGGTTCCCAATTGGCAGTGATACTTTTTTCAGGACAAAAAACAAACAAAAAAACCCAAAGAAAAACAAGAGAAAAATAAAATTGTTTTTCTAAATTTTATTTTTTCACTAATTAATTTTTAGATAAGTTGTTAGATTAATATTAAATCTTGATAAAATTGAGCACTGCATGCAATACTTGTTTATCTCTTCTTCATTACAGCACTAGCTCTGAAGTGTCTCATTTTTCAGATTGCAGATCTCGGCGTTGCCTCTTTTAAGAGCTGGAGTAGGCTGACCCAAGAAGAAACAGTCCGACAGAAGCAAATGAAGAGCACTTGCCAGAACAATGCTGGGACACTTTTCTATATGGCCCCAGAGCATTTACGCTCTGTTAATGTTAAACCAGTGGAGAAATCAGATGTTTACAGCTTTGGCATTGTGATCTGGGCAATTTTTGCTAGCAAAGAGCCATATGAAAGTACGTTACTTCCCAAAGGATGCTATCAGAAAAATAAGTTACAAATATTAAGCATTTAAAGTTATAAAATTGAGATTAGTAGATTGCACCATCCATGGCCTAGAGTAACACTGGTTTGGCACCTCATGGCCACTGAGAGGAATTAGTTGCATCATTCCTGTGTCTGTCTAAGCATGGATGAGAACACCTGAATAAAATGCAGCCATGAGCTGAAACTACTCACATCAACATGGTGTGGGCACAGACCAGACTTGGTGGCAGAAATTAGGCAAATCTCAGGTGGGCCAGGATGGAAACTTTGATAGACACTATTTCCTGAAGTGGACTGGTTAAACATGGAAATGAGAATGATCTCACAGTCCATTACCAGTTCTCAGCTGTGTGGTGCTGATTTCTCAACATGCACCAATGGGCTTACGTAGAACAATAGGAGCCAACTGTGGAATTGCAGAATAACACGTTTATAATTTCAAATGGATTTTTTGCTATTTAAATGGCTAAATGTGGCCATCTTTGTGTTCATATCTAGTGCAGAGCTGATGCACCTGAGATGCAGGTTCTAAAGAGCTGTCACCCTTACTCACACTGAATGTCTTACATATAAAAGTAAATCCACTAATCTTAAAATAAATCTCTGAACCACGGAAGTCGGGGCAGTGGATTCAAATTTGCTAATATAAAAGATTTGTAGCTGTAACCTGGACCTCTTTAAAGTCATATTTTACATACCCATAAACACACAGGGAGCCAATTCATTGTTCCTTTTACCTATGGATAGGTAGCAAAACACATGGACAGAACCTGATAGGAAATTTTGTTTTTCAGATGGTATAAATGAAACCCAGATTTGCTTTGGCATCATGAATGGAAACAGACCAGACATAAAGGAGATCACTGATAAATGTCCAGTGGAAATTATTGACTTAATGAAGCAATGCTGGGATGAAGATTCAGAGAAACGTCCAACCTTTGCAGGTAAGGCACTACTTTAAGATTCATATTTGTTTGCATCAATTGATCATTTATAATGAAGCAAAACAAACCTGAGTATGTATTTTCCTCTTGAAATAAGGTTGGGGTTTTTTTAAACTGAAATAGCAATGCACATGTTCTGTAAAGCATGCTCTCTGTACCGTGACCAAAAATGCAATCTGATCCAGCATTTCGAGGTTTGAGAAATCCTAGTAAGTGAATGGAGCTAATTAAGACACTTTGTCCCTGATAATTTATTTCCAGCATAATATAATATTATTGCTGAAATTTACATAAAAACTAACATCAAGGGATATAGTATATTTTGACCATGACTGAGAAAATATCCTATTTGAAATACTCTAGATTCAAAAGCTGTCCTAGCTATTCTTCCATAAGTAATCTGACTGACTTTGATAGCTAATCATCCTTTCATATGGTCAGATGGCAAAACATTTCCAATTGGTAGAAGTCTTGGCTGAATGGTCTGGGAAGGAGACTAAGAGCAAATAAGTCAAAATTCTATATCTCACTGTCTCTTCTTTCTGCCTCAATACATAGTGTCAAAAAAAAAAACCAAAAAAACCCCAAACAAACCAACCACCCGGGAAACCCCAAAACAACAAAAAGAGGAAAGAAAACCCAACCCACAAAAAAGACCCCAACAAATAACAGGAAACTGAGGTTTGTATTTAGAGGGACCCCAACAGTTTCATATACAGCAGGCATATACTTAAATACTCAGAGGAAATTTGTTTCCCATGAGGAATCCACCTACTATATCCATATTTGACATATATAATCTACTGCTAATAGATTAAGCCTCTGCTTGTATTGGGTCTTAGCTTCTAGTTTTCCCATATACAAGTCAAGGAAAGATGCTCTCAGCTACTGATCATAGACAGATTTCACCCTAAAAAGCAATACAACAACAACAACAAATCCCTAGAAGTCACCCTGTTCTTGTTACTGTTTAAGACTAAATGTACCATGTGAACAAATTACAAATGTATGTATACCTTTCTTGTTTCTGACATCATAGAAGTCTCCATTCTTCAATCCTTTTCCATCAAGATTGTTAACAGTACAAGTCACTTTTACTTTCCATTGAAACCCGCTTTCACTTAGTTCTTTCGTTTTTGCAGAAATCAGTGGAAGATACAAGCCATTTTACTATCAAAATCTAGGAAAAAATATAGAAGAAGATCTGAAAAATTTAAAAGTGAGTAGATTTCTAAGCATTTTAAGGTTGCCTACATTCCTTCTTCCCAACCCAAATTATGGGCAGCTTCTGCCACTTCAAGACTGATCATGCTTGACTGATGTGATTTCCTTGTGATAAAATGGCTGGATTTGTGAATGAGAGCAGAGCAGGTAATTTATCTCAACCTTCAGAAGGTTTTCAACACTCTCTCCCAAACTACTCTTGTATTCAAGTTCAGAGGTTGCTGTCTGGATGAGCAGAAAAACAGGTTGGATGGCAAGTCCCAGAGGGGAGCAGTTGATGGGTCCTACTTCACCTGCAGGCCAGAAGCAGCTGCAGGAGTGCAGGGGGCTGGTGACCTGGTTTACTCCTGTTTCAGTGACCTGACAAAAGCAAGGGAGCATGCATGAGGTGTGCAGGTGACGCCGAAATAAAAGGACCAGTCAATACAGTCACGAGGACAAGGATGATAGCTGCAGGCTGGAGGAATGTGGTGAGAGAAACCTTGTGAAATTCAGAAAGCACAAGTGGAATGTGTTGCACCTGGGATTAAATAACCCCTAGCTTCAGTGCCAACCAGGGGCTGCCCAGCCAGGGAGCAGCACTGCCGGGAAGCACGTCAGGGTGATGGAGAGCAGCAACCTGGGCACCAGCCACAGCCTGCCTGCACCAGCAGGCACCAGCAGTGTCATAGGCAGCAGATCTGCTCAGACCTTGTTAGTCCTAATAGGAGATTATTACTTCTGCCCAGCCATGCAATGTCTTTCAAGGACAAAGAAATAGCAACCTGCCCCTATGTGTGAGGACTTTGAGAATATAGAGCCAAGCTCTTCCCAGCAATGCATCATGTGAGGACTAGAGGAAAAAAGACAAATACAGAAACAAGAGAAACTCAAACTGGATGTAAGAGTGAAATGAAAAAAACCCAAAACTTTTCCCTCTGAGGAGGGCAGAGCAGGGGCACAAGTTACCTAAAGAGGTTGTCCAGTCACCATCATTGGAGGTTTTCAAACCCAACTGCACGAAGCTTTGAGGTCCCAACTCCGATCCCGTAAGTGACCCTGTTTTGAGCAGGAGGTGGGCCCAAGGTCTGTTTCCACCTGAACAGCAAACTGATTCTATGATGATGCTTTGCAAAAGCTCCTCATATATCCATTAAGTCTCACTCATGAAATAAAACGTTATTCCTAGCAATTCAAAAGTGTCAGAATCTGATTTAAAGTAACTTCATAAATTCTTGGTAATTTTTGCCCTGCCTTCAGGCAGTCTCTGTTGAGTTTCACCCTGCTTGAGACCAGGAAGCTATACCACAGTAATATTAACATGTAAAGGTTAAATTCAGGTAGTTCTCCTGAGTATCCAAGTTGGTTTCTCTTACTTTTCTGGCTGTAAGTTTAAAAATTATGATTAAAACAATCATTTCCTGACTGAAAATAAGAGAATCAGAACTTCTTGAAAAACTGGGCTGATAATGGAACCTTTTTATCACAGATTTTATGAATTTAATTACTTGACTGTATAGACTTCACTCACAGACAATATATCTGTATTCTTAACTAAAAAAAAACCCCAAACAACAAACTTCTTTGTGAAACCATTCTTTCATATTTTTTTTTAAAGTGCTTCCTTCTCACCAAGTCTTTAGCTGTGGAAATGAAAGTCATTTCATGTGATGTTTACAAAGCGCCAGTAACCATTCAAAAAAGCAACAGAGTTTTGCAAAATGAAACTGATGAAACAGATTTCTTGGACTGATTTGATCAAACTCCCAGTGTGAGCTGTATGTATGTCTAATTTATGACAGCAGCCCCAAATCAGAACAGTGGAAAATTTTACTAGATGCGTTACCTCTCTGCAGATGCACCTCTCATATCATAGGGACAAAATGACTATTGAAATGGGCTGTGAGTTTATTACTTTCTCAGGGAGGAAAGCATCCATTACAGTCAGGGCACAGATTGTGAGGAGTGGATCCAAGACAAGTCACTATGCAAATTACTAGTACAGCTTCAGTAGCAACAGGACTTAGAGGGTTTGGGCATAACCTTCCTGCTGTCTGCCCAGCAATCATGGAAGCCTCCTAACTAAAAGAATGGTTGAGGTCAAAAGGGACCAGAAGTCATTTGGTTCAACCCCCTGTTCAAACAAATCTGTTACTCAAGTGAAATCTAAGGACCTATGGCTGTAATGTGCATTAGAATGTCACCTTTTGCTTTTGGAGGGTAGTCAATTTTTTGGGGAAGAGATAGGTAGGAATAGTTGATTTTTAATCTGTGAAAGTACTTCTTGGGTTTAATTAGTTTTTTTTAAAAAAACACTAACACAAGCTCTACTTTTGGAAAATATTTTATAATTAAGCAGGACTTGGGAAGTTGAGAAATAATTTTTCCAGGTTAAAAAAAAAATAACTTCCAGCAAAGACCAAATAATGGGAACATCAAAAGAGTAGAACAGGAGTAGATTTTGCCTTCACTCTAGTTAAGTGAGATGAGGGTTATAGATAGGAAATTGCACTGATCCATTCTAAAAATTTCTTCTAAACTCCACATTCCTAATCATCTTTATAAAAGTCAGTGTGCCTATTCCTGAATTTTAATTATTTCTCACCTCTTCTTCCCCATTGATGAATGAACTTATTAAATATAGATCCACAGAACAGGATGCATGTTTGCTACTTTTACCTCAGCAGCATCCCCTCACCAAGATTCATTGCCAAAAGTCTGGCTAATAAATACTATATATCAGAGCCACTGTGGATTAAGCTTACATTCATGTAGGCAAGGGTATTTTTTGGTCAACTCAGAGAATTAAATACTGCAGTTACACTGCAGTCCTCCCTCACTTCATTGAAGAAAATATTTTGCCCACCTGTAGCAAAGCAGTAGGTATTTCCAGTCAGGCTGTGCTCTCTGAATGAGTATGGGATCTTTTCCCAGAGATTCACAGACTCTGTTCATCCAAGTCACTTCACAGTGAATCTGTTCTGTTTCATATTCTACAGGTACTCCCTTTGTTTAAGCTTTTGCCTATAATTTAATCATTTGTTCTTTCTCACATGCAGAAAATGTGGCCTGAGTCAAATGAACTGCTGCATAGCATGGAATCCCTTCAAATAGATGCTGTACCAGAAGATACCAGCAATGGTCAAGTAGGTAAGTCACTAGCACATAATTATGCTGTGTATTTGCCAAAGATAAAGTTGTGTACAAAGCAAGTAACCTTACCATTAAGGGTTATTAAGAGACTCAATTATTTAGCACCTCAGAAAGAATTGTAATCACTGATATGTTATTTGTTCCCAGAAGTCACACTTACAATTTCAAATTTTCCATCATCTACAGTTCAAACTCATCTCCTTTTAGACTTCTCTGCTTTCCTCTTCCATGCAAAAAATTTTGTTCAACATTAAGTTTTACAATGGTCACTTTGATAATTACTTTTCATACTTAATCTTTCATTTCTTTACTCATGCCAACTGCTTGGTTTGTAGGCTTTAATTTAATTAATTTTTCTTTTGTGCCCTCCATCCTTTCTTTTGAATGCTCTGAATATGACCAAGATACATAATTGTAAAGTGTTCCTTTGTTTAGGACCTTGCTCTCCCTAAGGAATCTGAGAAACACTAGTAGATAGGTTTTTTTTCTCTCTTTTCTCTCATACTTTCATCAAATCTTGGATGAGTTGCATGTTTTGTGATTTTATAGGGCTGGCTCTCTAATGTGTAATAATATATCTGTGATAATAAATCTAATACGATACAGTTAGAGTTTTGTAGTAGTGTATCTGGAATTCTCTTAACAAAGTTTCTTAACGTCAAAGGACACAGGATCTTACTTGCAACACTGATACATGTGAAATAATAAAAAAATCCAGTGGAAATAAAATTCTGCTGAGTTACCTAAGACAAGATCAAATTAATAATATTAAACTGTAACACAATTAAAAATTCTTCTCCAAAACTAGGTTTGCTACAACTGTTCCTCGGTAGAACTGATAGACTTAAGGCAGCCCCACTCCTGTATTTTTTAAGTGAGTGTAGTTACACTTCCTGAGCAGAAAGTATCATGTATGACTGCTGCAGAATGCAGATGCTCTCATGTTTTAAGTACAAGACTTTGTTGTGAATCTCCACTGTAGAAAGATGCCATATTGCCAGCCTGTCAGTCATAGGCAGAGGTTTTTCTCTAGTCAATGGGCATCACTCATACAGTGGTAGTGAAAAGTATCCCACAGGATCTGTTCCTACATCTCAAGCTTGCCCTGGAGAACAGGTGCCATATAGTTTATGCTAATACTGAATTGCTAAGAGCTGTCACTTTGGGGTTATTGCTGTATTAGCCATTCCTCGCACTCCCTCTCCAGCAGTGGTAGCAAAACAAGCAGAGCAAGTCTGACTGAAGGTGTACTAATATACAGCCATCCAAAGGAACTAGTTTTGGTCCTGCCTAATATGGGCAGAAACAATGTTATCTTGGGGGGGGACGACCCATTTCACTGGCATTATCTGAGCTAAAAAGAAGCCCATACATACACTTTATTCCAGTTTTACAGTGTTCTCTAAGTGTCCCTTGCTACAAGCAGTGTATGGTATTTTTTAGAAATGTGTGAAGCTTTCAGAACTTTAAGAATCAGTAGTCCTACCCTTAAAAATATAAGTACAAGTAGTATCAAATAGATTTTTGTGTTTCTTATTTAGTCTTCAAATGCTACAGCATCATACAGATTATAACTCCATCTAGCTCAATTCTGAAGTAGAGCTTCCTTTGATACTGAGAATTAGTTTGAAAAATGTAGATGGCACAGACTATTTTATCCGGTAGACATTACTTGTAAAAATGTATTCTTTGGGACAAGAGTATTCATCACTAAATACCCAGACAGGACACTTTACATAATCATTTTTAAATAAGATTTTAATGGAAAATTATTTGTGCTGTATGAAATTACACCAGTTATTACAGTGGCATTATTTTCCATCCTGTTACGCTTCAGCTTTGCACCGATCAAACTCCAGTTAATGCCACAGGAGACACACCAGTAAATCAGACCCTACAAATGCCACCAGGAATGTTTGTTTCAATGGCTGAAAATTATCAGCTGATGTCAGCATAAGCTGAATATGCAGTGAATTCTGACACTACTCAAGATAGTAAGATTTTAACACAGATAGCTTAAGCAAACCTGTACTTCCTAAATAAAAATCTATTCTACTTGTCAATAAAGCTGTGTTTTATTTTATAGAATTTCTTATGCTGGAAGTAATGCTTTATTGAAACCTTTTAGATATATAATAATAAAAAATTAGGTTAATAGATTTTAGTATCATTGCAACAAGTCAAACACTTGCATTTGAATGTTTTCAAACATTTAATGTTCTTCTCTTTCAGATCAGCCTAATTCTCTACACAGCTCTCAAGGTCCCATGACCAGTGAGGTTAATGTTGCTCTGCTTGCTGCCTACCCTGAGAACCAGCCTATAGAGAGCTGTGAGACCTCATTTCCATCTGCTGATAATCTGGAAAGAAAACTTCAGCATGAATACAACTACCACGCGTTTGGGAGCCGGATGGATAAAGCAGTTCCACCTGTGGTATACAGCCCTGGAATGATAGAGGAGGAAAGGAGACGGAGAGTTTCCTGTGATCCGTTTGCAAAGCCATCTCCTACTTCTCAGAGGAATGAACTATATCCAAGAGCTGAAAAAACAGGATCAAACACTAATCCATATTTCTGGGCAAACACTGATCCAAATATCTGGCCACAGGCAGCTGCAACAACACCAAAAAGGGGAAATGTAGATGTTTTTTACGGGCCCAGTCCCAACAGTCTTCCAACAGGAAACCCAGTGGATGCCTATGGGTTGTGTTCAGCCAGCAACTTTAGCCTAAGTAAACCTCCTGTGCCAGAATCTGGACAAAACCAGCAGTCACAGACAAATGTAAACCGGTATTCAAAGAATTCAGACACAGATACAGGTGAGATTCCTCCTTCCCCAACACTTATGTTTCTGAAAACACACTTTTCCTCTATTCAGTGAAGTCATCAGGAGAGTTTTGTAGGTCATGGAACAAGCTGCTTATTGCAGGCTGGTCTGTAATACAGCAAGGGTGAATTTATTTCATTAAGTTCTCTTTGTTTACTCCAAGTTAAAATGCTCTAGCTTTCACTTAATTGTGCTGCTTTCACTAATGTCAGGCTGCCAATTTCAGATGAACCATTTCTAAAGCATCAGTGTAACAGAAGAGCATAAGACCCAGCACCTGACTCTTCAGCTACCAGCCAAGGAAGAGCAGACAGCAAGTACTGCTAAAGCAGCTCCCAAAACCAGGAGCTGCTACCAGTCATTCTAGGAAAGCTGAGAACTTTGACTCCCAAAACCATAACATTCCTACCATAGATTCTGCTCATGCAAGACATGTAGCATTTCAGAAAATAGATGGGTATTTTTTAGCTTGACTTGGAGCAAGCTGAGGGACTTTTGAAGCTAGGGAGCCAGCAAGGAGCTAAGGCTTGTAACTGGTTTCTCCAGAGAGCTCTGCCTGGTGCTCAGGGTGGTGTTTGCTGGTAAGCTGGTAAGCCATGGAGTGAAAAGGTATGGACACAAAAAAGGAAGAGAATATTGGGCATTAACAAAACATATAAATAAGTGGTAACATATATATATATGTTATATGTAAGATATACAAGATATAACTTTGAGGAACTAAAGACAGCATGAGATGCCTGCTCCTACTCTTGGATATTTTTAGCATGGTGTTATTTTCCAGGTCATCTCACAAGAAAATGAAGGATGCTTAGCTTTTTACAAGCAGAATGCCACAAAGGTGTTATTCTGTTAAATTATTTATGCAGAGGCTGTGATTAGTTGTTTATGTGAGTTCATTTACTGAAATGAATTGGAGGGCTGTCATGTCAGAAGGCAGGCATTAGCATTTTCATCACTAATACAGGAAAATCTTCTGTTTGAAAGAAATAAAGAAAACAGTTATTATAGGAAACCTGCATGAAATAGTGTAGCAGATACCAGAGGTGCACAAGAGCTGCATTTCAGCTCCTCATTGACTTGTTGGGTGACTGTAACCCATCTGCTCTTGCTGCCCCAGTATGAGTTGCAGAACTCATCTGCATTCGAAAACTCACACTTGGGAGTTTGGAATTTGCCAGTTTGAATACCTCATACAAGGCAGCTCAGTCTGTAACTGCAGTGCACTGTGATCCCACACTGCCAGATACTCCTACACCCATGTGGAAGCCCATTGTCCTCATTGAGATCCGAGGATAGTTAAGGTTATTAGTAGCTCAGCAAAACCACAGTAAGATCATGCTTAAACTGAAGTTATTAATGGAGACATAATCCTGCTAATTAAAAAGCTTCTCATCTCTGTATTTAAGAGTACTGTATACTCACATTGTTACAAATATGGAAGTCACTGTTATGTATATCTACTTTTCTATTTACATAATGCTTTTGGCATTTCTTTGTTTTTTGTTCTTTCTACAGGTTACAGGGATTCCACTTCTTTCACAAGGGGAACGTTTCCATACTATCCTAGTGCATCCAGAGTAAGCCCAGGTAAGTGCTGTGGCCTTCATCTGCCCTGGTAGCCAACAGGCTGTGCATTGCATCCTGAGCAATGAAGCAAAATACTTCAGGAATTTGAAATAATTTCTGTTATTGCTAAATATAGCTCTAACCATAGCTGAGGTTTTCAGTATCAGTAGGTAAAAACTAGTTCCTATCTCTAGCAAGACCTAAACACACCATGAAATGTGTATTTGATAAATCAAGGACAATACATTATTTTATGTAAGAATTTTAAAATCTCCTGGACACCTAAACTAGTCACTTTCTTAGATTAAACTTCAAGTTGCTGTCACTCTCCCCAGCTCTGGAAGCACACACACACATTTGGGACGCTTTGTCCTATCTTGCTCTGGATTTTAATACAAATTTCTAGCTACAGGCTTCACACTGATCAGCCTCCATTGGGACACAGGTCTCTACAGTTCTACTGCCTTGAACCCATAAAATAATGTAATATCCTTCAGGAGTTATTAATATACGCTCTTTTCGAGTTGTGTTGCTTGGAGCACTCTGAATTATTTAATTAACCCTTTCAAAGGCCTGTCCAGTTTCTAAGTGGTCTATACTACAAAGAAAACTTGAAAGAGCAGGTTTCTGTTTTCTTGGCTCTGCATCCCTTAAATGATGACCCAAACCTGAGAATCTGTTAAGTGTAAAGGCTTGGGAAAGGAGATTTATAAGCACAGTAATTTTTACTGTTAATACTGTAGTATTGACAAATTATTTGTATACATTTTCATATCTTATGCTAAATTCATTTTATTGCTAGATAAGAATATAGCAAACATGAGGTTTCTTTATATTTTTAACTACAAATACGATGTGTTTCTTGAGTCCTCTAGCTCTTAAAAAAAAAGGATACAGGATTCATAATGTTATGAGTAGAAGAAATGATGTTATAAGACATGATAAAATGCTTTCCTTTTTTGCAACTTCATCAATCTAATCATGCATATAATATTTCTGATTTGCAGTCTCAGGTTAGCATATATTAAGTGCACTTAGATTTTCATACATAACAGATTTTCACACTTTCACATTGCAATTGAGTGTGTAACAAGAATGTAACCATGATTTCAGGTGAAGTACAGAGCTTGGTGTATTATTCTAAGTATCTGTACTTTAGTTTTAGACCCAGGTTGTGAGATTTACCATTTAAGCTAGAGTTAGAATGTTCAGTGGATGATTATCCAAACAGTGCTCAGAAAACACTATCAAGAGAACAGAAAACTGACATCAGCTAACATGAATAGTGACGTAGCTTAATGCTGCATGTAGAAATCAGACAACAGTAAACTAAAGATTAAATTATCTGTTTTAGTAATCATATCTTATGAGCAACATGAAATGATTTGCTGTAGTCTCACAGAACTCAGAAGTCATGACCATAAATCTGAATCACAGAACTCAGAAGTCATGACCATAAATCTGAACTTACATCTATGAAAAGTAGAGCTGAGAGGCAGAAGTGAGGCTTTAAGATTTAAACGAGTGTTTGAGTCAAGGCTGGCCTCCTGAAGCGTTTAGGCAGCAGAAAGCAAGACTGCTACTATGCATTCCCAAGGCACAGAGAACATTATTTACAGTCTAGTAACTATCAGCTTGGTTGTGGCACTCTTGTCTTAAAATAGACTGGGCTTTCACTAAAGTGCATTGGTGTCACACTGCACAGTGAAAATACTCACAGCACGGTTGCCAGTAAATGGCTATTTCTACATCAAATGCAATGAATATCACTCCCCTTATTAGTGGAACTTCTTCCTTCTCATGTTACTTCTTGATATTTGAACCTAATGCTGTTGTTTGTAAATTTGTGTTAAAGTTCCTTATACAGATGATTCAATCAAGTACAACATAAATAACAGCTCTGGAATTCAAATTGGATCCTACAGTCACATGAAGATTGAAGAGCAGAACCCACATGTCAGCACTTGTCCTGTTGCTATGGAAGCAATTTATACACATTATAAAGCAATGGGTACATTTGGTAAGAGAATAGCTCCCTATTTTTTATGTATTCACCCCATATAATTATTTGAGAATCATTTGGTTTGGAATGTATAAAACACTCAGATGGGTAGAAGCAAGGCTAAGATTGGAGATCCTTACCTGACTTCTAGTTTAAATCGTAGAATATCCCGAGTTGGAATGGACCCATGCAGATTATAGAGTCCAGTGCCTGACAAAACACAGGGAAAACTAAAAGTTAAACCATATATTCAAGAGCCACAACAATTTCATTCAGATAGAAGTTGGACAATTTTGAAATGTAATCCATTTTCATTGGTCAGTACTGAATTAAACTATCCCGTGTATCCTAAGTGACATTTGTGTCTCAGAATGTAAAACATATACAATTCTAAGAACTCTAGAAAGGTTTTTCTTCAGTCTTGCAGGTTTAAGTGACAACCTCTGATAGCTTCAGATCACAGAGCAAGTCCAGCAACTGACCTGTGAATACACATGGTCTGTCTGGACATTTCTTGCCTCGCTGGGTTATGCTGCTTCCATATGAAATCCACGTCTGATTGCATCACTAAGATTTTGTCTCCAGATATTACCAATAAATAGTTGGGGGAGGATAGAAGAGAGAGAGTGAAAGGAGCAGAACTGTTGAATGATGCAATTCTCTTCCACTCTTCTTTTTGCAGACAATACTACTGTCCTGACAGAAAAGCATTTGAATCTAGTGAGAGAAAAGCTGGCTAAGCAGTGGAAGCACTGTGCTCGGAAACTGGGCTTCAGTGATCCCGAGATAGATGAAATTGATCATGACTATGAACGAGATGGACTAAAAGAAAAGGTTTACCAAATGCTGCTGAAATGGGTAATGAGGGAAGGCTCTAAAGGTGCTACAGTTGGAAAACTTGCCAAGGCCCTCTTTGGCTGCCAAAGACTGGATCTCCTTAGTACTTTGATGCAAATCCAAGAAGAATAAGTTTACTGAGAACAGACTTTCTAGAGCTCTCCTTTTTGCACAGACTTTTGGGAACGTATCTTTTTAACCAACCAGTTCTCAGTGAGTACCTCCAATAAATCAAAAAGTTCACGTCACAATATTTGGTCTTCCATAGGATTAAAAAAAAAAAAAAGCATCTTCCTTTCAACCAGAATGATTGTCTGAAGATAACAACAAAATGCAAGACAAATACAAATTCAAGGAGAATGTGTTACACAAAATTCTGCATTCTAGTCTTGTAACATGTTGGTAGTCTTGTTCAGTTCTGAAGATTGACTTACTGCATGAAAAACTTGTATAGAAACCAAAATCAAACCTTACATTTTGCCAGAAGTGCCAATAATTAATTACACCAGTATTTGACTGGTCTTAGTCAATAATACACTTTAAATATTTTTATAATTTTTATTAAATATAGATGTCTAGAATTATGCAGAACAGCAGCATAAATAAAAGCAAAACCTATTTCTGGCTTTAAAAGTTTATAATTTATATTTTATAGTTATAATGTTGCATTAGTTTTTTACATTGTTTGGTAGAAAAGATTTTACAGGGTAAGAGTCTGTCCTGGGGTGACTTTATGATGCTTGTATCCCCAGTTGCCTGTTCTGTTTATGCTGGTTATCAAGTTCTGCAACTTTAAGACTGGTTGTGAGGAGAAGTGTGCAGTTTGTTTTCAGAAACTGGACTTGCTTCCACACATTTTCCTTCTCAGGGACTCTGTCGTCTGCAGCAGGGACACTGGGAGAGAGCTCTTCTTTGCTTTTAATTAGTTTAAAAAGCTAGCTGAGGCAGAGGAGTATCTTGGACTATGTTGGTTTGGTCTTGTTTTTTTTCCCTTTCTCTTGGGTCTGAATGGCCCTGCTCTGGACCAGAAATTCAGAAGAGCACTGGAAGCTCACACCTGTGGCCCACCAGAGCCTGGGCCTCGGTGTTTTCCAGCGCTAGAGGGACTGATAAGAGACTAAGCGAGCCAAGCTACACCCCACAGCAAGGACTTTCTGAATTTTCCATCTCTTCAGAACAGCAGGAGGTTTTATTGTTAATATTATTAATATTTTTATGCTCATGAATCCTTTTCTTGTTAAATAAACAGGCTTTTTCCACTTTTCTCCAAGGAAATCTTTTCCTGAACCAGTAGGGGAAGGGGCCACTTGAATCTGCTTTCTAGAGGGACCCCATTCAGAGGTTTCCTCCCAGATTTGTCCTAAAGGAGGACTGAGTCTCATCTGCTTTATGAAATAATTTTAAAAAAATAAGTTAAATCAGTATGCAATCCAAATTAAAAACTCAAGAATACAAGAGTTTTGGGAAGGGAAAGGTGCTTTATTACCTCTTGACTGAAGACCCATTCTCCTTCTCACTCTGGGGACTCAGTGTCACTACATTCTGAATCTCTTAGGCTGTGTTTATATTAGTAGGCTAAATGTGCCTGGAAATGTTCTTGCATGCTGAGGTTAAACTGGCATGCTGCAGCCTGAATAGCAAATTCTTTAAACCTCCAAAATGTTGTGCAAAGACCATTCCACAGCACTCAGGTTGTTTCTGGGGGGCACTGGAACAGCTCTGTAGCGTAGGTGATGGTATCCCAGTGCCTGCAAATGTTCCTTGTCACTCCGACTTCCTCATATTGACATAATCTCAGTGTGCAGTGCCTATGAAAGAAGAATTACTGGAAGTTTTTTGACTGAAGAATTATGCCAAACTCTTCTTTCTAGGGACAACACCTCCTGTTCCATCAGATTTACAGATTTTTCAGGCAGATGTTTTGGAGCAGGTAATTATTTAATCTATACATAGAGCCCTAGGTGTTCATTAGTGTTCATAATTATTAATTTTAATTGTCAAAAAAAGCTAATAACTTAATGGAGTGCAGTTAGATTGGATTTCTGCTCCTTGATACAGCAACCACCATTTCAGTGGAAGCAAAATGAAACTGTAATTAAAGCAAGCATCAACATATTTGTCATCTTTAAACTTACTTAAAATTTATTGCATTTCCTTACAGTTTTGACTTAGCAACATGCTAAATTTTCTATAAACTCTTGAGTACAATAGAATGATGTGGTTTATCTGTCTAATATAATAAGCATACACTTCCCAGAAAAAGAAAAATTGTTCTTTAAACAGATAGAGAGATGGGGTAGGGAGTGTCTTCTCTATGTCAGTCCACAGAGTTATAGCCAGCAGCTACTGTGTTAGTTCATGAAACAGATCCCTGAACAGACCACAAAGTCCATTTATGTTTTGTTAACACTGGTTGCACTGTATTGCTACATCAATTCCCCAGCCCCCATTGTTTTTTGTATCTGCAGTCTTTAAACAATATGCAATTTTTCAATCATAAGATCTTTTGTCTTATTTGGTACATAGAATGAATGATTATTTAATGGGCATACTTTAAATGCTTCATCTGCTCTTTATTAAAGCAAGTCTGGACCTTACTTTCTGTAACAGCAAGCACAGAGATGTAGAGCACAAACATGAAGCATTTTAGAATAAGACTTAGACCTGGGGCAGTCCTAGATCTTTAATGCAGGACATTTTAGTGCTTGTCAAGTCCAAGTCTAGATTAGTGCTCATAGTTCATATGACATTGTAGATGGTATAGAACACAAACAACTGAACTCACCCAGAGATGAACTCGTTCACTACAGCCTTTGCAGAACTCAACCATAGAGAGGATTCAGCTTCCTGGGCAGAAGGGCTACAAGTCCTCCAGCATATTGTGGAAAACCACATAATAGGACACAATGCCTGTAAGCAGCATCCAGGCATGCCAAATTGGAATATATATTTAATAATGATGAACTACTGGAAAAGCTACATAGGGAGGCTATGGATCTTATTATCTCTTAATTAAGATTGGTCTTGTTTCTTAAGGTGGCTATAACTGAAATTAAAGCTGTAAGTCTCAATACAAGGTTAACTAGGTGAAATGTGAAAGCAAATGGTGTACAAGAGGTCCAAGGAAAAGAGTTAGTGCTCTCCCAAGCCTAAAAATTTACAGAAGCATCAAGTATGGAAGAGAAAAATAAGCTAATACTAATTTACTGGATTGTTCATTTCATCTACCACCCCATACCCCCTCTCTCTCTGCTCATAAAAAAAAAAAATTAAGGATGGAGCTGATTTTTGAAAAGCAACCTTTCATGAGAGATCAAAAATGGAGGAAAATAATGGGGACAAGAATGAAATACAGTGATGTATTATGGCACAGATCTGATACCTTTCATGGCAAAACAAAGGACAGAAAGACAGAAGAGTAATTTCCTATCAAACTGGCAAGCTATCAGCCTCAAGGGCAGAGGCAGCACTAATGCAGCAGCCTTACAGAGATTTTTCATAAGATTGGGGAGGTGCAAGACAGGGAGGAAAAGGCTGTGGGTTGCAGCAGCAGATCTCGTTGTGGTCTCCTTGAAGAGCAGGAGGTGAACTCATCCAGTTATGCACAAGGACATGATGGTTTCCCATTTTAAGAGAGTAAGTTCTTGGAGACTTTAGATCAAAGACAACTCAGTATAACCCCTGCCCAGTAGTTATCCTCATCACACAGCAGCCAATTTGTGCTGAAACTCTTAAATGCAGAGAAGACTGAGTCCATGTAATTCAGAGCAACTATTTTAATTTTGTTACTATGTCCCCACTAACAGTGTACAAGCAGCTAAAAAATGTCAGGAATTTTTACTCATTCCAACATAGTTGCTAAATAATACCAATTAATAATGCTGAATTAAAAACTCAGAGGGGACATTGTTGCAAGTATTTGATATGTGACCTCTGAACTGAGCTGGCAACATACAGCTCCTCTTCCTCAGAAGCCAATTTCCGAGGAGAGGCAACACTCAACACTTGGTTTCTGACTGATTGAGCAGCTTTAAGTAAATTATGTCACTTTTCTCTGATAGAGTTTTCAGCACTATTCAATAACAAATGAAGACTATCTTTCAGCATGGAGGCACATAGGAAATTGAGTCAGAATCCCTAAGCCTCTGAAACATGCTCAGCCAGTGAGAAGGAGCTATAGGCAAACAAGGAAGTATCACCCAGTGTTGTAATCCAGTACAAACAGGGACACATTAGAGCTAAGTAGTACTTGGGAGAGCTTTCTTCACTGCCTTCCAGGCATTTTTTCCTACCCCTTCCTCATCACAGTCCCTACAGGCTATAGGAAATGCTCCTTGCAGCATGCTAGGTTTTCCTTCTAGCATACCAATTAGCAATAGGAGTCAATCAACCATGCTCATTTGTTCCTCAACACACAAGAGCAGCTAGTGGAACTGCAGCTCCCTGTGAAAAAGGAAAGAGGGAAGGTAGAATCTGAACAGGCTCTAGACTGTAGAGACTAGAAGTTATCTTTGTGCTGGAGGAAGAATTGCCTATGAGTGAAATGAAGGAGACCAGAGTTCTGACTTATGCTGGGTTTCCCCCTCCTCTACAACTTTAAGTAGGTCACTTCCTTTCTCTAGCATGGTTTCCTTGTCTCTTTGATACAGACTAACTTCTGCCAGAACCAAGATGTGATCTTACAATAAGCATTGTAGCCTATAAAGCTCAGAGAGATACTTGATAAGAGCTGCTTGAAACAAAAACCCACACTAATTTCCTTAATAAACCAGTAATACTGCTGGATTTTGAGTGATGGGTTGCCACTCCTGTGCACCCCCCCCACACCATTCTCTCATTAGCTGAAAGACCTAAATGCAGCACTGGAAAGGATGTCTTGGTCACTGAGTTCATCAAAATAGATTTGCACAGCCCCTTCCATAAAAAAATCAAGAATCATCCTCTAAATGTCACTCTTGCCTTCTCCAAGGGACAAGCTGTTTCTTCCTTCATACCAGAGTTTTTGGAGTCATTTCATGTCTCTGTCTCTAGAATGTCCTAAATATGGTCAGAAATTATACCAAGACTGTACTTGGATTTACAAGATGGAGATTATATTCAATTTTGAAATTACAAGACCACCTCCCATTGAAGTGCCCAAGTGCAGATGTGTCACATTTATAACAGTTATTCATGAACATACCAAAGATATGCAGATACTGCTTAAGTTGACAGACACTATCCTTTGCTAGCATAAGGAAACTGCAGG